TAGGAGTTGAAGGAGACTGGATTTTGTTGGCCCAGGACAGGGTCCGGTGGAGGGCTTTGGTTAATTCGGTGATGAACCTTGGGTTCCGTAAGCCATCTGGTTGGTTGGGTCCACTATTTGGGAAGCCTCAAAGGAAGAGACCTCTGGGGAGACCTAGACGTAGATGGGAGGATAATCTCAGGCGGGATCTATGGAAGATAGGAGTTGATGGAGACTGGATTTTGTTGGCCCAGGACAGGGTCCGGTGGAGGGCTTTGGTTAATTCGGTGATGAACCTTCGGGTTCCGTAAGCCATCTGGTTGGTTACCTGCAGCATAACGAGTGCCAAACGGAAGAAAACGCTGCTCGTTTCTTTTCCGGCCATAAAATCTTTTAATGTCCGCCGCTGCAGACAGCAGGAGGGTCCGAATGTGTCTGCACATTCGCACGCGATGTTGTGGCGCGCAGCAGAAACAACGCTCAAATGAATTCCTTGACGGGCCCAGAGCGGAGGAGAGACAGAGTCCCGGTAGCAGATCAATAACTCCCCGCAGACACACGAGCCATTCTGACTTGTCTTGCGTTTCGAATGAAAGTATCGAGCAGAATTAAACGCGGGTTATGTCGACCAACTCAAGGTTTCGGCCTCACTGACATTTTAAATAATGAATGTCTGCACGTGCCCAAATCTCAAGAGCAATTGGCTCAGTCATCCACAGAAGTTCAGTGGGAAATCGATAAGAGAAGGGAAAATAAATAAATAAATTACAGCAGATTACTTGAGAAAACATTTGGAAAGAAAAGATTGTTTTAAGGAGACGCGTGCCTTTTTGGCGAAAAAGAAAGTCGAAGGCGGGAGGATTTCGAGGTGGGAAATGCAAAAAGTGCCTCCAAACCAAAACAGGGGTGTGCTTTTGAACTAGGGTGCATTGCTATCCAATCACGCAACTAACAACGATCTTCTCCATATTAATGAACCGCCCTTTGTCCCAGACGTCACTTAAAAGTTTCCTTAATGAACCTTTTATCCTGAATTTCAGAACGTCCTTCCACTCAGGCATGTCTGCGGGTCGCTGAATGCTGTTCCATTCAGCCCGTAAAGGAATAGAATGCCTGAAGACAATCGAGGTAGCACAGCGGGCGGACATTATTACTCGTCACTTATCTGAAGACAAACAGAATTAAGCAGTGCCTACGTGATTTTGGTATAATTTGTACGTCTGAGAACGCAACGTCGTGTCTTTTGCTGAGGCTGGAAGGCGCTCCTCACAGAGGATCGAAGCAGCACGATATCCCGGGCGGCTCACGTCAATTATCTCAGTGGCGACGGAAATGCCAGGGTCCAATTGAAGAGGTACAAGGACCGCTTACCTCCCTATCACGGAGGCCGTCAGCCAAAGCCACCGAAAGTGCGTCTGTCAGAGCACAAACTGCCCAATAGGGTTGCACTGCGACTCGGTCCATAAGCGTTCGCGTTAGACTCCGCTGGTTGGTTGGTTCGCCGTCTTCGAACGTACGAAAACTATCGGCTGAGACAGTCCAGGCAATGCCGTGGAGGCGAAAAAGAGGTCGAGGTCAGTTCCGACTCGTGCATTCGCCTGGAAGTGCCCACAGAAAAGCTCTCTCAGATTCTCAGAAGGCGGAAGCCGTTGCCGACAGTCATGATGCTCACTTCCGGCTGAAGAACGAACCGCGGGCAGTCGTCATAAAGGAAGTGACACTTGGCAAGGCATCGCGTCCTAGAAGTATTTCAAACAGAGCCCAGAAACATTGACGGCGCCCTCGGTAATCCCTGCGAGCATGGGAACGCGCTGAAGTAGCACACCGACGTCGTCGGATGGATCCACCAATCCACTTGACGCTGGTGGTAAGATCTTCCAGAGGATCCCACGAGAGAGAACCGACCGTGATCGGCTGCTTCGCGGGCTGTTTGGGTACGGACCCAGACTTATCACGAGTGGAGAAGAAATGACGGCGTCTTCACACGTGGCGGGAGCCTTCGACACCGCGCGGACTGGAAGTCTCTCATTCACAAGTTCACCAGCAACTGTTCCACCGCATTCCTCAACAGTGGAGTCAAACCCAGGAAATAGAAGACCTCGCAGAATGCGCGTACAGTAAAAGAATGGAACACAACACGGAAGAGTTTTACCAAACCTTGTTCACAGCTGGTGAATAAAAGCGAAGGGGAATCGACTGCAGGAGGCGTTGTCCACTCTCCTGACACATCCCAGCCGCAGCGAAAAACCAGTTTTCAAATGAAAAGTCTTCCAGGCATTCAAACAAAATTTGCTTCAAACGCGGAAGTGACGAGAAAACTCACAGTCCAAAGTCTCAAATTCCGGAGAATGTGCTCTTCTGCTGCAAAAGACGTCGGTTCTCGAAAGACGCACAATTATCTTAAACCACAAAGGTTGAGGCAGTACGTTCCTGCGAAACGTCGGCATATATCCAAACCACAACACATCATGTAGACCGAGGCAAATATTGCAGGATTTCTCATTTTTACGGAGTTATAAAAGTGGCATCAGACATCAACTGTCATGGCACTCACCTTTCTTTGTCTTTGCAACTTGCGTGTCGCCTGTACCCTGTAGCCCGTGCGCCTGCTGTTGTTGGGAATTGAACCCCGGACCCGCAGCCAAAGTAGCCATCGCGAGCAATTTTCTCTTGTGGTTACAGAGCTTGGTGAGATCACCTGAGACCACCGTCGCGTCTGACGACGGCAATGTCCAAGGTCTGGTCGCCACCTGCAAAAGAACATGAACATGAGAGATCAATCCACCGATGGATGGCACTCGCCTGTTGATACGCAAACTGAGGAGCGTAGACAAAGCTGCTGATTCAAAGACCACGCACTGTACCTGGCAGGAACTGCCTGTGTCCTGTCTTCAGCTCTAAGTTGGTGGACTGTCCTGGGGTTAGATGTTCTCTGGTATGAATTTGTGCGAACTGCCACGATTCTAATAATCATTACTGCATCTGACACCGACCCACGCAGATGAACAATCAAAGAACATCTTGCAGTATGGTAGAAACTGACCGACGTTTCGTAAGAGTCTACCATCGTCATAAAATTATCACCTCGTCCCAAACATCGGTCAATATATGCCACACTACACGGAGCTACATCCCAGAAGACAGTATTTTTTGGGGGCTCTAATTACTATAATAGATCGTCGTGATATTATTTTAAATGCATTACAAGACACAATTTTTAAATCGAATTACGGAAGAAATTGTCGGTTAGCTAAACCGCAAAATGCAAAGTAAAACGTGGCCATCAGAACGTCGTTTCAAAACACAGGCTTTTTGCACAATAGCAGGAATCAGGAAATCAAAATGCTTTTCATCAACTCCATTTATTTATTTATTCGCAACAAGGGAGGAAATAATGGATGAGGGATAATACGGCGATTTCTTAAAACTGAGATCCTTCTAGAAACACGACAGACGATAATTCGATCCTTGCGAGTCTCAGGCCCTCGTTTAATGCTCCCGGAGAGTCACACCACCCTCAACGCACAAGAGGGCTCAATCAAATAAGTCACTGGTGAAACATCGAAGTTGGTCGTCACCTTCCGTGCGTGCAATTCTTACCGCGTTACGTCCGAAACTACTGTTAGCCAGAAAACGTCCACTGATGTTTCATATAATTTTAACCGAACAGACGTGTCTTGTGAATCATCTACAGCTTCCGCATTCTGATAAAACACATGCCTAGTAGTTGATTCAACGTCATGGAAACTATGAACAGAAAAAGAACCACACAGAGAAACGTATGTTGGGCTATACGGGCAGAGCGAGTCGAAGTTCTGTTTGCCGACGGGGGAACAGAGAAGTTCCGAGGTCGTCTCAATTGTCCGCCTGCCGATTAACGACACGTGACGGCAGGTGACGACGGTCAGCGTGTCCAGAGCACTTCCGTTATTGACAAGGCGACTTCCTGAGTACAAATAACATTGTAGACCCCAGTACAAGTTGTAGCCTGTGGCAAGTATTTCTGTCGATAGATTCATCATTGCAGATGAATCATCGTAGAGATCAACAAACTGGCCGAGCGAGAAGTGTTGGCGCATGCGCAAAGGACTGATTTTAGTCGTGCGAGATAGACCCGTCCGAAGCCCGTGCTGGAGGGGTGTAAGGTTCAGTTGGTTTGTAGCTCTAGCCGTGTTTAGTTCGGTGCGTCACCGCAGCTGAGGCTGTGCGACCCCCTCCCCTACTACTGAACTCCCCTCTCTCGGCTTACACATCGCGCATTTAGGTAACACCACTACTCGCGCGACCTCTACACACACAAAATGGTGGGCCTATCAGCGACTGTTAACCTGCCGCGTACCTCCTACGGACACTGGGACAATTCCTCAACAACAGCAGCACTGTCGATGGCTCTCCTGCGTCGTTGCGATCAGTAAGAGATGAGTAAGTTAGGATCACGATATTCCTTGACTGTCCGGTTCCTTTAACTCTGGCGTTTTCCACACGAATACTCATCGTCCTGATGATGGAGGCAGCAAGAACCTCTGAAACGTCGGTAAACTTCTACCAGACTACACTTTTTTTACACCATCGTTGGAACAATGACCTCGGATCACATTAACGCAACAGTACCGTATGGACTTCGGCGGAAAGGGTGTTCAACACCGAGTTCGGCTAAAACGAAGCTTACGTGGCGTGACGAACAACTCCAAAATGTAGGCCTTCGGGTGTTGTAACACACGCGATGGCTACCAGAAAGCATCCTGATCGCTCATCACTGGTTTCATATGGCAAAGAGCGAGCAATGGACGGTATCCTGGAACACAACAGGGGGAAAAAGAAGGAAATCCCCGGAACAGAAGAACAAAATATTTGAAAAGAGCCGCTCCCTTGTTCTCGTTATCGTTGACAAGAGATTACTGTTAGTCCGCGCATCGCAGGTGGTTACAGAAATATCGGGTACATCTCAATGACCTCGGTTATTGTAAAACGAACACAGAACCTAAAGTAAATTAATTACTTTTATACGCCGTGCTTGTCTGAGAAGACGTGATTTAAAATTATCACAGTAGGCACAAAGTTGGCCGCAGTTTGGTTAAAACTCGGTCTGAGGAGTACGTGTGAAAAAAAAAAAGACGAACTTCCATGAAGTGCACATTAAATACACCAGGCGACCAACTGCGACTTCAAGCGACAAGGACGCACAACACGAGAAAAAAAATTGGCAGATGGATTAAGAGAGCACACAGAATGAAGGTCACTGGGGAAAAAACTGAACTCTGCTGGTTACGTATCGTGGGAAAAAAATTGAACGGAGCGACGAGGCATGCGCAGTTAACATCCGTTCCATAAGAGCTGCAGCACCACTACAATTTTTCAAAAATTGAAAAATTTATTTTTTGTTTATATAATTTGTAACACTTCATTTCCTCTACATCAATATTTTAATATTGCCCCTTTCGAGGCAGAACGGGGCTATCATTCGGCTGCAAGGACTTCAGCGCGGTTAGCCGGTCAAATGATGAGCGCGGGGGGCGGCGGAGTGAGGGGCGGTTTATAGTAAACACGATTGCCAGGTACCGCGTGTTTTAGGCTGGTTTCTGTATCACAAACTGTTTCGTTTTTATTGTTACTGAGTATTCAATAATTCTGTGAGCTGACTATTTTTTGTTCTTATAATGACAATGAGCAAAGGAAGTGTATCGTAGTTACAGCAAATTACTTTTTATAAATTGTCTTTGAGTGAAAAAGTAATGTAAAAAAAATCATGGCCGCCCTCTTCCGGACTTACAAATATTTCCTCCTGATGCAAATTTACTTTTCATTCTTTATATTGTTATGTGTTGAAAAACTATTCACAGTTTCCCCCCTTGCGCAGGACTGCCACTGCTCAGACTCACGAGCCGCCACTGGTTCCAGGGCACGTACGGGAACGAGAAATGTATCGGACGAGGGGCGCACAATCCACAATCTTTTGGCACTTCGTGTATCTCACATACGCAGTCCAGTGACATTATTTCAAGGACGTCTTAGCAAAACTCGTAATAATTAAAAAAAAACACTTTCCGTCAATCAAACAATCAAATCAGGGGTCCACAACCCGTGGCCCTCCAACGTGAACATTTTTTTTAAATTGTCACCCTGCATCATGAGAAATCGGTCCGAGACGCCACAGAATTTTCTCATCATCTGTCAGCACCAATCGCACGGAGGTAATGTCCAGGTTAATGAACACGGCGGGATGCATGCAAATGGGGAACTTGACACTGAAAAATGCCTTTAAAATTATCAAAAACATTAATGATTAATGTATAAACCTGTTTGCAGCTAGCTGCTTCGGTGGGACGTCAGCCAAGGCCTTCTTCAGCTGTGCAACAACCAACTGAAGGCCACAGCTCACGTCCGACCGAAGGCACTAGCTGTGGGTCAGTGGTACTTGAAATAAGTTACGGCCAAGTCCTGATCGGCTGGCCGTCGGTCAACGAGCGGATGCCATTTCATATGTACCAGTCCGCTCCTGAAGTCGAACTGAGACTCTGTTGATTCGGCCCCTAAATGCGCCCCCAGCCACCCACGTGAAAGAAACTTCGCGGGGATCGGACCCAGAAATTCTTTCCGTCTCTGTTCAAACGTCTTCGTCCTCGTTAGTTCTGACAGACCTTTGCAGTATTTCGAAGAGGTCGGACGAGCCTCAACTGAACGCGTGACGCGGCGCCCAGACGCAAAACGACCGCTGAATTTGACCTCGGGAACTTAAAGAGAGGGAAATCAAACTGCGCCATCCACAATTTGTTTGTCTTGTTTATTTGTTCTAAGGCGACATGCTTCCGTCCTTTCCTGCCCTCTTCAGGGAGTAAAAAGTATTCTGCTTACCTTACCACGTGCGATGCTGTCAGTAACACTGCGTTCGATAATACGAAATGTTACAAATGCACTATAAAATAATATGTCCGTCTGGAGTCGCCACATAAGAGAATTTAATTAAAATGCAGCCCCTTGGTCCTATATCGTGGAATGAGTGCTCGTGTTGACTGTCGCCTTCTTCTGTGTTGAAACTGGCTTTTATCAATGCAATCGTTTCTTACATTTCTATTGCAGGAATTCAACAGGAGTACACGCAGTTTCGTTGCTGTCTATTTGAGGAGGCTGTGAGTAGTTTTAATTCATAAATACAAACAGGGCCATCGACCTCGGGACTTGATTCGCCCAATGGCAGGAAGATAATTTTCATCTGAATCAGCCCACCAGTCCTGATAAAAAAATACAAATCGACGTTTCGGAAAGAGAGAGAGAGAAATATGATGAATTTCTGAAGCGGTTACATGACTTTGTTTCCTCAGAACAATCTTTTGGGAACATTAAACGTTTGCAGACTGTGGCGAACTTTCAGCTTTAGTTCGTTTTTAACAAACAAATATCCCTTCTCGCAGTCGACTCCCAAAGTTGGCAACGATTTCTTGATGGCCTGTAACAGTGCGTTCAATAAATCTCTGAAGTGGTAACCTAACTGGCTCTTCAATGACTTACAGGATCGAACTCTTATTCCGACGCCCACCACTGACCGACGTCCCGCTGAAGAAGAATCTCAAGAGGACCTGCCCTTCTGTCGTACGACTGAGCGACAGAAGAGGCGCCATCAC